GAGCGGACGGGCTCTGCCGTCCAGCCCTGCCCCTCCTATGTCTTTCCCACCTCAGGGAGAGTCTCTTCCTTCCCCTCCACCAGGCCAGAACCACAGCATTGTGTGTGACCCTATTTCTTTTCCATCCCCTCCCATTCAATTGGACAGCAAATCTCTTTGCCCCATCCTGTAAGCACATCTAGGTGCTGGGTGTGGGAACACACGCCTGTGAGCCCAGCACCCAGGAGGCTGAGGCAGGAAGATCTTCTGTGAGTTTGAGACCCTGTTTCAAAAATAAATAAAATACGTCTAGAATCTAATCACTGCCCACACCAGGCCATGCTGGCATGAGACCGTCCTCTGCCTCCTTGAGCAGCCTGTTGGGTTTCCAGTTTTTACCTTCATGCCCAACAGCCTGTGTTCCCCACAGAGCAGCCACAGAGGTCACCCTCCAATATCTTCTCACCTCGGTGAAATGCCAATTCTTCACCATGGCCAAAAGGGATAATGGCCTACCCTTTATCACTGTCCCCGTCCCTCTATCCATTCTAGCCTCACTGATCCTTTTGCTGTTTTTCAAGTTCTCAAGTGCATTCCTGCCCCTGGGCCTTTGCACTTGCAAAAGAATCTATGCCCAGGATTTTCACAGTTCACTTCCCTTGGATCTCTGCTTAAACACTCCACACCAAAGGTGATTTTTCTATGTCTGCTTCACCAGATTCTGCTGTAGGAACAACCTCCAAATCATGGTGGATTATGTGCTCATTCTTCACTCACGTTACAAGTGTTGACTGCAGGGGGCTAGGGATTTAGCTCAGTGGCATAAGCGCCTGCCTTGCAAGCAGGCAGTCATGAGTTCGATCCCCTGTACCGATAAAAAGACAAAAAAAAAAAAAAAACAAGTGTTGACTGCAGGCTGGCCTGAGGTCTTCTCTACATGTCTTTGTCCTGGGATCATGGAGAACCCCTGGGACAGAAGCCATGGTGACCACAGAAGAGCCATCGACAGAGCAGGCGAACAGCTTTGCAACTCATGCTCAGAATCAGCCCACCTCACTTCCGATCACAGCTCACCAGGGACCAGGCCTGCTGTTGGGGTCAGGACAGGAGGCTCCATGTTGCAGGAACAGAGGAAAGACTCCAAGAAAAAAAGCTAAACAAGCCCTCCAGCCCCACTCGCCCTTGGTCAATTTACAGTCACCAGTCCTCCACGCGCCCGGAGGACGCAGTCCTGGCCCCACCTCCGTGCCTGACAGAACGCCCATCCCCAGGTGTGGGCTGTGAGGACAGTGCCTGGGTTACTTCCAGGGCACCTGAGGCCGTGTTTTGGATTAAAGACTGGTGGTCAACTTAACGCCAGCCGGATTACATCAGCACGGTGCTGAGCATAGATGCTCCACCTGAGGAAAGATGCCAGCATAAAAAGAGATGTGGAGAAGGAGAAGGAGGCATTGAGGCATTGTGGGTTCTCCTACAAATTGCTGTTTGAGCCACTGGTTCTCCTGGAGAAGCTCTCTCTGGTCCTCACATCGAGCATATCTCCTGGCTCCGGAGAGGAAGATTTGTGCCGCTTGGTCTCCAGGATGAACTTGTCACGCTGCTTCCTGGCACGTACCAGACTGTGCTTGTTGTTGAAGGAGCTCTGGGCCTCTGTGTCACTGAGGATGGCTGTGGTGCCTTTCAGGACAGCCCTGGTCTTTGTTGTGAGTGTGACTTTGCAGCTCCAGCGTAGAACCCTCATCCCACCAGCACAGCTCCTTCACCCTGCTGGCATGGACTTTCTGGCTTCCACTGCTGACCTTTGGGCCTTCCCGGCACAGATCTGTAAAGGAGACTGTAGTGAGTCCTTCTTCTGGGCTTTAGACCTCCAGCTGGACTCATGGAGGCACTGTCATGAGCTCTGGATTTTCATCTGGGCTCATGTGGGACATTGCTGTGGGATTCAGGCCCTTGGCTGAATATTCTGTTTTTGGTATTGCAGATAGATTTCCTGCAGTTTCTTGTGCTAACTCTGGGTGACCATGATAAAAATAGTATTATAAACTCCATGTCCTGGTTCTAATTGTTCTCTGTACCACCCTGACTAAAACAGGCCGCTTCTGCTGAGCACAGCGATCCTTCCCCGGGCCTGCAGCTGTCTGGTGGGCGGCTGGGGTGGGATAAAAGGCCTGACACTCGTGCCTTTGTCATATCTGTCCCCTGTGCTGTCCTAGCCGTGGGGTCAGGTTCTACTGGGCTTTGCACGTAGACTGTGGACGATTGAAGAAATGTTGTGTCTGAGACCCCGACATGGTGAGCTAGGCCCGTGGGAGCTGGGCTGTGTCCCGCTTTCTCAGCAGCCCAAGCACTGGACGTCCTTCCTTGTCCCAAGGCCAGGGCATGTAAGGGGGAGATGTCGCCAGTGGGAGGGGCAGCTCGGCAGACCCTGAGAGAAGCAGACCTCCTGTTAGTCCACCACGCTCAAGGCCGGGATGTGAGGACAGAGGCGCCAAACACACGAAAATGCACCAAATCTAGGACGAGATGACCATGACCGCCCGTGATCCAAACCTGCCGTGTCTCTCAGAACAGAGCCATAGGAATGACCGGACTTTAGTTCACCCCAGGAATCAGCAAAACCCTGCCACTTTCTTCAGTCTACAAGAGCAGTTTGGTTGTACTCTCAACTGACCACAGGCTCCCTTCTCCTTAAAGCCTAGAGTGGCTGCGGCCCTTCCAGGGGGAGAACCCCCAGCAGCTTCTGAGATCTACGCCATGTTAGAACTTACGAAGCTGGGAAACCAAGCAACCAGCCTGCCTCCCTGCCAAGCAATAGTGAACCTACTAGTGCACGGCCTAGAGTCATACATTCCAGTTCCCCTACCCCGCTTCTCCTGCCCCCTGTTAGCAAATGGGAACCAGAAATCTGAGCATCTCCTGGGAGGTTGACCATAGCAAATAAGGGGGATTTCCTTCTCCATCTCTTTGAAGACAAATATTTTTTAACTGTTTTGCTCTATTCTGATTAATGGTACTGCTCTATTCAATATTCTGTTTTGATAAGTTCTATAATGTTCTGTATTTCATTTTATATACATGATTGAAAGAACACCTATTGTAAAGATAACAAAATATACTGTGATACCTATTACTGTTATCCTGGTAACCTGCTGTGAAGTTCTGTATCAATTTCACTATATGATCTTAGTTGGCTTTATTCTGTCTTGTTCTGTTGTATTTTACTACTTTCAAAATAAAATTTTAAAAAAGCCTAGGGTGGCGATGGGCAAGGGTCCTGTCGTCTGGCTCCCATAGCCTCCACCCTGCTCTGACACCGCACCTGCCTCCCTCGCTACCACCTGTGTCCCCGCCTCGCGCCCCGGCGTGCCACCTCTTGTTCATGACGCATCTCCTGCATCTGGGACGGGAGCAGCACATAGTAAGTGCTCAACAAACATGTACACAAGAGACCAAAAGGCCCAAGACGGGGAGACCAGAGGGCTGTAGGAGCCAAAAGAGGGGCGTCTCACTAAATCCCTCGCCCTTCCTCAGGGCTCAGAGGTGGGGAGCAGTTGGCAGGGATAATCCTGCCAGGCTGGGCCTTCCCAGAGCATAGTAGCTGAATTACTATTTTAGGCCAGGAATGTTACTATTTTGGGCCAGGCATATTACTATTTGGGGCCAGAAACATTACTATTTTGGTCACTGATGCCCCTAATCTCCTGCTAACCCTCACTAGATCCTTGACCCTCATGTCATTCTAGTCCCATTCCAGAGACTTTCCCACGTCCTGACCCCTAACTCTGACTCCATCTCAACCTTTGCCCTTCCCTGGTCTCAGCCCTGCCTTTTGTTTAGTTTTATTTGAGACAGGGTCTCACCATGTAGCCCAGTATGACCTTGAACTTGTGGCAACCCTCCTGCCTCAGCCTCCTGAGTGCTGGGACTACAGGCTGCACCACCATGCTGGGCCCAGCTTTGTCACCCTGCTTGAGCTTCATACTTGAGCCCCTACATCATATAAAATCGCTCAGGACCCATCTGTACCACCAAAGAGTTAGATGCCTGGGGTGGGGGAGGAGGCAGAGCCGGGGTGAAGGACCCCAAATGTGAAGTCAAACATCAGCAGAGGCAGAGGCAGAGCAGAGCTCAACGGGGCGAGGGGGAACCCCTGATGATGACAACATGACCTAGAGAAGGAACAAAGCTGGGCCACAAGTTCCCAGTTTGGAAATAACTCAGCATAACAAGGATGCTAGAAAGTTCAGAGATTTCCAAGAGCCCTACATGTGTGATTTCATTCAGAAATTCACCTGCACGCATCCAGGGTGACTAGAGCCATCTGGTTTCCAAGCTGGCACCCGTGGCATCAGAGACCATGGCCGGGGACAGAACTTTCCAAGGCAGCCAGGAATTTCCTACAAATATACCGGGATGTCCAGGACCAGGGCCCAGAGCTGCTAGGGAGCCCGCGGGACAGTAGCTCGGAGGGACACCCCTACGGACCAGGACGCCTCTCAGGCTCCATCTGTCTTTATCCTGGTTTCTCTTTCCCTGCTTCCCCTCGGTCTCTCCCTGCCTCACTCAGCCCCCTAGCCCTACGCCACTCCTCATTCCCCATAATCCTAACCCTCCAGACTTGATGGGGTTCTGCCATCAATCTGTCCCCTCCTCTAGCACCCAGACTCCACAGAGACAGAGCGCTCTTGACAGCACGACTTTGTACTGAATTACACTGTGGCTTGATTCATGGCCCTGGACAGAACACAGCCTCACACAAGTGCCATAAGCACTTGCCCTCCACCGAGTGGCCCCACCCTGAGCTCACTTTCCTCAGAGCTCGCTCACATCTAGCTGATTTCCCCGCAGTGACAGTTATGAACCAGCAGCTGGGCGAAGCTGGAAATTTCCTGTGCCAGCCTCACCAACGCCCCTTAAAGTGAGCCCTGTGACCGTGCTGGGTTCTCAGAGGAGAAAACTGAAGCCACACAGAAGCAGTGTGCCTGGTCTGTGCTCCACTGGTGGAAGGAGCTGGTGGTCAACACCCCCAATACAGCCCCTACCCCTTCTACCCCTTTTGGGGATACTGAGGCTGAACGCAGGACCTGTGCACTGAGCTACATGCCCAGCCCTTTTTATTTTATTTTATTTTTTTTCATTTTTTTATTTTGAGGCAGGGTCTTGCTAAGTTGTCCAGGCTGGTCTCCAACTTTCCATCCTCCTGCCTTCGCCTCCTAGAGGGCAAGCCTAGGACGCCAGCCTCCTCACGGCCGGCCGCGGGCCGCTTAGCTCAGCTGGGCCACTCCGCAGCCCGCCGCAGCCTTGCGCGCGCTGCCAACCCGAACCGGGCGCCTCCTGCGGGGGGCGCTGCACCTGGCCGTGCGAGCGACACCCAGAGCGCACCCGCGCCCCGCCCTGCCGCCCCGCCCAGGGAGGCAGCCGTGGGTCCCGGCCGGAGCCGCGGGCCAGAGCCGCGCCGGACCGCGAGGAGCTGGGTCGGTTCGGAGCCGCGCCCGCCCGCATGGCCCTCGCCGCGCTGCTGCTGCCGCTGCTGGGGCTGCTCTTGCGCCCGCGCCCCGGAGCCGGTGAGTGTCCGTCCGTCTCCCCTGGACCTCCCGCGGCCCCGCGGCCACCTGCCCGCTGCCCCGCGGGAATGAATGGTTCGGGCGCTGAGGTCCGGGAAACGAGCCGGCGTGCAGGGAGCACAGGGGCCGGGCCGGGCGGGTTAAAGAGCCCGCTGGCGGCGGCTCTGCCTTCCCGGGAGGGAGGGAGGGAGGGCGCCGGGAGTCGGGCACGCTTTAAAGGCGCGGCGTCGCCCGGCTGCCTGGGACCGAACCGAAGGATTCTTGGCACTGAGCCACATCTCCTCCCCGCCCCCACCCTCCCCCGAAAAACTTTAAAAAAATTTTTAAATTTCGAGACAGAAACTTGTCACGTGTAAATTGCCCAGGTTAGGATCAGCCTCCCGGAATACTGGGATTACAGGCTTGCACCACCAGACTTCACGCTTTCTTTTAAATTTGTGCAGCCACCATCCCCCCCCCCCCCCGCAGAGTGCCTGACCGTGTTCTAAACGCTGGGGCACCACGCCCACCCCACCGGGGCTCCCGCACTTGGCATTTAATCCCGGCGACCTGAAGGTTTCATTAGGGGAAGCGGGGGGGGGGGGGGGGGGGGTGTCTGTCACTTTGCTGTGCAGGGTAATAATACAGCGTGCCGGGCACCCACTTCCTCGTCCTGGGCTTTTCTCTGAAGATGCCCAGAAGACTGGCGCTTCCCCAGCCGAGGGGCGCTAGCCCACACCCAGCCCCGAGACAGTCCCGGGCACGGCCAGAGCCAGCGCCAGCACTGGAAACGTGAGGCAGGATACCAGGGCCGGGTGCCACCTCTGAGCCCAGGCCGGGCCCCTCCCTGCCAGTGACCTCACCCTCCCATCCCATTGGACAGAGGGAAACACGGTGGGGGGTGTCACTGGCCGGGGCGGAGTCAGGCACCCAAACCCCGGCCCTGAGTCTCAGACCTGCCCACTCTCCCGCAGTCACCCCTGTCCGGACACCAGCCCCACTTCTGCCCAACAGTACCAGGCACCTGCATGCACTGCCCCCAGCTTCCTCCGCTCCTCTGACCCCAGTGGTAATTAATATTTGCCAGGATAGAGCCCGAGGTCAGGTCACCATTCTGTGAGGATTTCATCACCTTGCCTTCTCATGCTGACCATTGCTATATGTATGGTCAGAGAAACCCTAAACCAGTCCATCTACAGAGAGGAAGGGTCTATCTGGGCTCCCAGTGTCGGAGGCGCTGAGCCATTGGCCACACTGTTCTCTGCCATGGGGGATAGAGCATTTCAGTAGGCAGAGCCTGGAGGAACACAACCACAGCTCACCTTATGGTCTAGAAGCAAGAGAAAGAAAACAGGAGAGTCCAAGCCAGGCTTGGTGGCTCACGCCTGTAATCTTCAGGAGGCTGAAGCAGGAGGACTGTTGCAAGTTCAAGACCAGCTTGGGCTACAAAGTGAGCTCAAGGCCAGCCTGAACTGCATAGTGAGACCCTGTCTCAAAAAGATGGAAAGAAAGAAAAGAAAAGAAAGAAGGAAAGAAAGAAAGAAAGAAAGAAAGAAAAAAGAAAGAGCAAACAGGAGAGTACAGCATCCTGCAGTCCCTTCTGGGTCACACCTTCAGTGACCCAAAGACACCCACACACCCAGAACCCTTCCTCTTTTTTTCTTTCACCTAGAAATCAGGTAGCTTCCTTAGAAATGGCTCACCAGTCAAAGGATTCTGGGTCCTTCTAGCACAAAGAGTTGGATGAGACAAGCCAAAAGCAGTGACAAAAGTTAATTTGAAAAGTGAGGGGTGGAGGCTGGGGATTTAGCTCAGCAGCATAAGTGCCTGCCTTGGAAGTGCACAGTCATGAGTTCCATCCCTGGTACCAAAAAAGAAAAGTGAGAGGTGAATGATATGGGAGAAACCAGCTTTGCGGAGCAAACTTGGGCAGTACAAGAGAAAAGAAGAAGATAAAAGCAAAAATAAAAGTTTGTGCTGTGTCTGAGAAATGCAGCCTGGGCTATGGCTGGAGGGCACAGTAGGGAGCTCCCCCGGGTCAGATCTTCTTTTACAGCAAGCTTGTCTTGTGGGAGCCTGAGAGAAGTTCCAAGTGCAAGATCCTGAGAATTATTTAGTTCTGTCCTGGCATTTTGGCATCTTGTCACCTGTCCGGTCCCCCTCATTTCCCCAGCCAGCTTTGCCATGTCCTGTCTTCGGTGTCACCAGGGACTGAACCTGGGTTCTTCTCACTGAGTTATAGCTTCAAAGACTTTTTAAAAAACATTTTTTAAGACATTGTCTTGCTAAGTTAAATGACCCAGGTTGAGCTCAAATTACCCAGGCTGTGATCCTCCTGCCTCAGCGTCCCATAGTGCTGAGATTTCAGCAGTATGCCTGGGCACGTGACTTTAGATCCTATCTCTCAAAGACGCCAAACTTCTACTGTGTGGACCTTGGTTGGACACTTGAGATCCAAACTGTTGCACCCATGTTACAGGTGAAACTGAGGCTCGGCAGACAAAATACACCTGCACAAGGGCTGGGCGGGCAGGAGCACTGAAAATTTGACTTTCCCCCCCTTCTGGTCAACAATAATGCGTGGATCCACTACATGCTGGGCTGAAGGCACAGAGACTTCCATGCAGGGCCAACTAGCCTGACCACTGACAGTCCAGGTTCAAATCCCACCTTTCCTGCTTATCCTGATGATCTCTGTGTCAAGCGGCCCCGTGCCTCAGTTTCCCCATCTATAATTGGCGCCCCTGATTTCCCCACAGGAATGGAAACTCCAAGTATGCAGAAGCCCTCTGAAGTGACTGGCCACGTGGGCCAGAATGTGACGCTACCCTGTTGGCTGGGGGCTCTGGAGCCAGGCATACACGTGAGCCAGTTCACCTGGGAACACCAGCAGCCAGAGGGGTCTCTCCAGCCCGTAGCCACCTTTCACTATGATGGCAGAAGCGTTTCCAGGGAACCCAGGAGAATGAGGTTCGTGGCTGCCAAGGCCGGCGGGAACCTGACAGATGCCAGCCTGATGCTGTCAGACCTGCGCGTTGAGGATGGAGGGATCTACAAATGCAACATAGCTACCTTCCCGCGGGGCACGATCGTCATCAAAACCCAGCTGCTGGTGTTGGGTGAGCCTGGGCGGGGCGGGAGAGGGGCCCCTGCAGCTCATGAGGACCAGAGAGGCAGAGATGGGTGAAGGAGAGAGGAGAGAGGGCCGGCTGCCGGCTTTGAGGGGGCCAATCTCAGACCCAACGCCCAGCGCGGTGATGGACAGAGAAGGCCAGTGATGGCCGGGGAAGGGAGCGTGAGGGAGCTGGCAGGAGCTGGAGGGGGAGCCCTGAGTTTGCAGCCCACCCCCACCACTACCATCTTGGGCACTAGCTTCTTCTGCACCCCCTCCCTTTCTTGTTGGGGGTTATTGGGATTGAACCCAGAACCTTCACACATCTGCAGACCTTTTTAAATTTTTTTTTTAATTTGAGACAAACTTAGTCTGCTAAGTTTGTGGGGCTGGACTCTAATTTGGGATCCTCTTACGTCAGCCTCCTAGAGTCCTGAGATTACACAGCCAGTGGTTTCTGAATGGGCCAAGTGCCTGGAAAATCTGGCAGAGGCTTCTTCCTCTTATAACTTGGGCAGGAAGCCTGTGTCCCTTCCCAGTCCCCCTTGCCACCCCCACCCAGGCCCCTGCTGTGCCTGGAACTTTCCCAGGCCTTCTATGAGTCGCTCATAATTATCAAATGCTGAGAAGACGTGGCACCACTGAGGGGCACTCCTGTCCACTCAGTCAAGGACCCTCCATGAGTCAGGTGGAGGTGACTCAGCAGTGATGGGCCAGGATATGACGGGAAGTTTGGAGAGAAGCCCTGGGCAGGCGGACGTCATGGTGATGGTGATGGGAAGAGGCGGTTGGGGGCTTTCGAGTGAGACAGACCTTGTGCACATGAAAGCCTGACTCCCGGCTCGCAGGAACTACGCCCCTCCTTGCCCAGGCACAAGGGCAGAGCCAAGGGGTGACAGTCTTTGCTGGGTCCCCACAGGGCCACCAAGCAGCACTTACTGAGAGCATTCCCCGTGTGCCAGGGCCGCTCTGACAGCTTCCCCTCATCTTCTCTTTGCCCATGACCCCTTCAGTATCCAAGGCTGACAGTTAAGGAAACTGAGGCACAGACCTGCTCAAGGTCACCCGGCTGCTCTGGGATGGGGCTGAGATTTGACCCTGGCCATCCTCGGGTAACCCCCTCAGCCGCTGAGGGTCTGCAGGGTGACTGCCGGCAGGAGGTGACCTGTCCCTGTCACCCTCCCCCAGCCTCGCCTCAGAACAGGGTGGAGCCGCGGCAGGTGTGGCCTCCACTGACTCCCGGGGAGCCCGTGCCTGTGGCCCTCTGTGCGTCCAAAAGGGGCTGGCCACCCGCCAAGCTCTCCTGGCACCTCGACGACTCGGCCCTGAATGAGACGATCAAAGAGATCCAGGAGCAAAAGCAGGAGCCCTTGTCGGGCACAGTCAGCGTGACCAGCCTCCTGCTGATGGTGCCCTCCAGGAGCACAGATGGCAGGAGAGTCACTTGCAGAGTGGACCACGACACTCTGGCGGAGCCAGACCTGCTGCACGCCACCGTCTCCGTGCCCTGTGAGTACGGGCAGTGGCCCCCGCCCCACTGTCTACCCGGCTCCCCTGGACATCGGGCAGTGCTGTCCACACTCACCACTTAGGCCACTGGCTGTGGGGCGTTGTTACTGTCTCTGGGTCATGTGCCCTGACCCTGTGACCCTATGCTTTCTACTCGGGTTCTCCCAGGTGCTCTCTGAAATGCCCCCAGTGTCTAGTCTGGCCCCCCATAGTGTCTGTACCAGCTGCCTCAGCGGTTTCGGAGCTGCCTCACATTCTTCTGTTGTCTCTGGGGCAGTGTCTACACTGTCCTCTGCCCGGTGCGGGCTACACTGTCTGATCCCCTTCCACAGCTCATGCTGTCTCCCTGGGTTCTGTCTACACAGCCTCATACTGCTGGACCCCGGCCTCCCACTCTGGCCCCCTGCAGCTGCCGTAGGGTGTCACCAGCATCTACACCCACAGATTTAGCCACAGTGACAGCCCCAGGACTCTCTCTGCTCCGATCAGCCGGAGGACCATGAGCCACAGATGCGATGTTTAGCTTCCCACCAGCCACCCATTTAAAGACGGTTAAGAGGTGGGGCCGACCGAAACGGCTCACACCTGTAATACCAGCTACTCAGGAGGCTGAGGCAGGGGCATCGAAAGTTCAAGGCCAGCTATCTCAAAACCAAAAAGGGGTGGGGGTGCGGCTGAGTGGTGGAGTACTTGTGTAGTATCCAGAGGCCCTGGGTTCCATCCCCAGCACTGCCGAGATAGACAGACAGACAGACAGACAGACGGAGAGAAAGTTTGTTTTCATAGTGGATTTTAGGCAAATCAATATTTACACTGACAATATTGTCACTGTATGCCTTCGAAATCTGCTGTGGATTTCAGAGCAGCTGCATCCCAAGCGTGCAGGCCTCACGGGTTGTGTCGAACAGCACAGGTCTAAGCTCCCACCTGTCTAACTGGCGATTCCGGGGGTGAGGCACACGTGTGCGCCCACAGCCCGGCTGCATTTCCCCAACTTCGCCAGTTCGCTCTCTGTGCTGCCACTGTCCCCAGCATCGTCACCCTGGCTCCCTCAGGATTGAACATTTCCTCCACAGCGGCCGCCTCGCTGCCTTCCCGGCGCTCTGTCTACACAGGGCCCGTCAGCAGTGCCCACAGGGGCTCTTCGTGGCACTCTGCATGCTGTCTGTCTGCCCTGTCTACACCGGCTGTTCCTCTCCAGGGAGGTGGGCCACGGGTTCCCTCGGCAGAGTCACTGTGTCTGGGGGAGGAGGACAGTGGGGTGACTAGTACCCGCCTCCTTTCCACTCCACACACAGCCCTGCCCCATTGGCCTGGCCCCTGAGGGCGTAGGAAAGTGTCCCTGGTCATGATGCTGCGGCAGAGAAGAGGGGACCCTTTCCTGCAGGACTTGGCAGAGCCTTGAACACTAAGGCAGGCCAGGATGAGGCTACCCCAGAAACAAGCAGAGAAAGACAGGTTCCGAGGAGCTCCTTTGGTGCTCCCTGCCTGAGGATGCCCAGGCTTCCACTCTGTGAAGGAACCTGTGACCCTGGGCGCCTCCCAGGCCTCTCCAGCTCAGCTGCTCCCCACCCCACTTGGGCCTGAAGCCCACAGTTCTTCAGCCACTCTGAAGACTCCCCATCCCTGAGCCTGTGTGCCTGTTCTCCTCAGATCCGCCTGAGGTGTTCATCTCTGGCTATAATGAAGACTGGTACCCTGGCCAAACAAATGTCAACCTCAGCTGTGACATCTACAGCAACCCAGAGCCTGTGACTGTGGTCTGGAACACGTGAGTTTACTGACCAGGTCTGAGGGAGGAGGCCGGGCCTGGACCCCCGGGTCTGAGGGGGGAAGCTGAGCCCGAAAGGGGAACAGAAACTAAAGAAAGAACATGAGCGAGCCCAGGCCAGCATGCCATCACCGTGCGGGGAGGTGTTTGGTCTGGGCTGTTGATGCCCAGGCCCCACATGCCACTCTGAGCTGAGTACCAGCCCTGCCACATGACACTGACAGCCAGCACTGCAGCCAACCTATAAAGGTCCTCTATAGGGCTGGGCCAAGTGCCTGACTTGCCAGGCCCTGGCCTCTCCATCCATAGCCCCATAGAAAAACAAACAAAAACGAGAATTTGTTTGAGCTCCATTCCAAAAAAAATGATGATTTTTTTTTTTTAGACAGGGTCTCGCTATGTAGTTCATCCTGGCCTTGAACTCACTCTGTAGCCCAGGCTGGCCTCAATCTCATGGTGATCCTCCTGCCTCGGCCTCCCAAGTGCTGGAATTACAGCTGTGCCACAACCCACTATGGTTCATTATTTTACACAGTGTTTATTGACCTTTTCCTTATCCCAAAAATAACATGAGCATTGCACAGCCTTCAAACAAAACAGGAGCAAAAAGAGGGAAATAGTTCCTCAGTAGCCAATAAGGGCAGCCAGAAATACCCACTATTACCTTTTGTTATGTCCTGCCTGTCTTTATTTTTTTGTTCCCAAACAAAAACTAGAACGGAAAAGTCTCAGTGAACCCTCAGAAATCCCGGATTCCCCCCCCGATGTTCTGCCCTTGCCGATCCGTGGTGGTCCCCCACCCCGTATGCATCACTGTGTCTGCTGCCCCTCTCTGCCGAGGCTGAAGGCCCCATCTGTGTACTTGCCCTCAGTTAACCGGCCAGCTACACACAGGCCAGGGGTGCGCCCGTGCTCCTTGGGGGATAGCTGCTGCCCTGGGAGGAACTGGCGGTCACTCGCTCTCAGGGACGGTGCTGCTCATGTCCTGCTGCTGGGTGGCATCTGGATTCGGGTCCCTCACAGCACATGCCTCGGCCTCCGTGCTGACCACTGTGCCATGCATCCTCTGCATCCGGCACCCAGGCTGCTGCCCACCGTGCTCTGGTAGATGTGACAGAGCCGCCCTCTCCCCTTGTGGGACTCCCATTCCTAGCAGAGAGAAAATACGCAGCGTAGAGTCGTGGAGTACGGCCTGTGCCAGATCCTCATGAATGTCTTTCTTACTTTCCTTATTGCTGAGACAAAACACCCAGCACTCAAAATTAAAGGAGGCGGCACCAGGTATGGTGGTGCACACCCGTAATCCCAGTGCTCAGGAGGCTGAGGCAGGAGGGACGTTGGGAGTCTGAGACCAGCCTGGGCTACAAAGTGAGCTCAAGGCCAGCCTGAACTGCATAGAGAGACCCTGCTTCAAAAAGGCAACAAAACAAAACGTTAAAGGAGGTTTGTTTGGATCATACCTTGAGGTTTCAGTCCATAGTCTGCTGGCTCCGAGGCTGGGCAGCATCACAGAGGACGCTTTCGGTGCTCTCGAGGTAGCCAGGTGACAGGGAGCTTAGCAGCATCTCTCCACCTTTTTATCTTTTCTGCCTGTGGCGGGCAGCATTCACACCCTTAGCCCCAGTGCCCTGGGCCTGGCATTGTACCTGAGTCCCAGACTCTCACCCCCTAGGCCCAGCCACCTCTGTCAAAGCCCCACCTAGGAGGCTTTTGGGGCCATCTAGACACAGGGCGAAGCACTGAGTGAACATCGTGGGGAAGTGAAAGCAGGAGGGCCCGGGCCTCCGCTCCTGAGTGCCTGCCTGCTTCCACCAAAAATAGACAAACACAAATCTGAACAGCTGAGCCAGGGGAAGGGATGGAGAAATAGCGGGCAAACCAGGTGACTTCTCGGCAGAGGCTGAAAGACGCGGAGGAGCACAGAGCGCTGGGAGCAGGACGCTGGCTTTCGGCTGAGCGGAGGGCTCAGAGGCGACCTGTGACTCGGGCGCCCCCTGGTGGCCTCCTGGGGGCAGTGTGGCAAGGGAGGCAACAGTGGCCACGCTTGGTCCTGAGCTGCCTGGGATTCAACGTGGGTTTACAAGGTGGGGTCAGCAGGATTTGCTGATGGCTGCACCGTGGCAGGGAGAGGCGGGGGTGGCAAGGGGAGGACTCCGGATGGCTCCCAAGCTGAGGTGCAGGCTGCAGGAGGCTACAGAATCGTGGTCACTCTAGGGCTCCAAGAGGCCACATTCTCACCCGCCCATCTCCCCAGGACCACGGGAACTCTGCCACGCTCTGCGGAGGTCCAGGGCCGGCAGCTTCTGTTCCACAACGTTGAGGAGTCCATCCATAACACCACGTTTACTTGCCTGGCCATCAACACCATGGGGACTGGCCAGTGGAATCTGACCATCCTGCTAAAAGGTGAGGAGCTGGGAGGAGGGTCGGCCACCACAGCCACCGCAGGAGGGGCAGCAGCAGGACCGCCCGCAGGTGGAGGTCAGGGTGTGTGCCCAACTTCGGATCCTAATGTGACTCCTGCGCCTCGGCCAAGCCCTGTCAGGAGAGGACTTTGCTTCCTGCTAACCCGCCATCTGTATCACCAGTGCCATGCTTCAGCCAGCTGGATACACTCCCTTCACCAGCCCAGGCTGGGGCAGCTGTGGGATGCCTCTTTCCTAAGGGCTCAGAAAAGGCCTTTCTTAGGGTCATAGGCAGAGCTCTACTGATTGCAATTGTCAGATGCATGACTCAAAAGGCATCTGAGCTCCCCATCCCACAAAAAAAGAAAGTTTTTAAAAATATACCTTCAGGTATGGTTAGATCCAGGTACTCCAACTAGGTAATCTAGGCATTTTTCTTCACATCGTTTATCTCTGATTTCTTTATGCTGCTTTTATTCTCCAGTAAGCTCTGTTCTGGGACTCCTGTACCCTCAGCTAACATCCCACCCGCTTAGCAATCCCAAGAGTAGAAACCCACTTTCAGTAGCTCTCGACAAAACCTCCACGCCACCAAGGGTCCATTCAGAGGGCTGAGTCTGTGTCCCAACTGTGTGGGTCACTTAATCTGCCTACTATCAAAAGTCTGAGAAAAGCCCATAAATGGGAAAATTTGTTTAGTCACAATTTGGACCCCACCAGGCTCTGACCCAGCAGCAGACTCAGGAAAGAGTCTGGTTGAAGGATCTTAGGCACCAGGACTGGTGTCCAGCATGAAGAGGCCAGAGAAATGCCTTCACTTTAAAACTCTCAACTTTTTAAACCAGATGTGCTAGCTCACACCTGTCATCCCAGCACTCGGGGAGGCTGAGGCAGGAGGATTTCAAGTTCTAGCCCAGCCTAGGTAATATAGTGAGGTAGTGAGACCCTGTGTCAAAACAGAAAATGAGGAGAGGGATAGGGGTGTGGCTCAGTGCAAAGGCCCCAGTACCAGGAAAGGAGGAAGAAAATAAGGGAAGGAGAGAAAAAACCTCAGGAAAAAGAGAGGTTGGGTGTGGTGGTGTAAGCCTGTAAGCCCAGCACTCTGGAGGCTGAGGCAGGAAGATCCCTGTGATGTTTGAGGCCAGCCTGGGCTACACAGTGAGTTCAAGGCCAGGCTGCACTGCATACAGAGACCTTGCCTAAAAAGAGACAGAGAGAGAGAGACAGAGAGAGAGAGAGAGAGAGAGAGAGAGAGAGAAAAGGGGGAAAGAATCCCAGCCTTTAAGGATCCATTTCCATTTCACCGAGGACGGCTATCCCTGGCCCATCCTAGGTCACAGCCCACTTATGAGCCAGAGAGAAAGGACCGCTGCCCCTGGCCAGGCCCAGGTCAGGCAGGGGCTCCCTCCAGAGCGCCTGCGCTTCGCAGCCCTGGGCAGGCGGTGGGCGCCCCCTAGAGGAAGTTGGGGTCATGACCGAGGGAAGGGCGGCGCCTGCGGCCTTTCCCACCCGGAGGTCTGCTCCTTTCTCTCTCCCAGCACCGCCGCCTGCCGGGGAGCCGTCAGCCCGCCAAAGAGCCATCCTTCCCATCTGCCTCGGTGTGTGCAGTGTGATCGCGATCGCGATCGCGGCTTTGTTTCATCTCCGACGCTGCAGGGCCCGCGGTGAGTCCTCCACTGCCCCCTGCCCTGACGGACTGGACGGATGGACGGACGTGGTGTCCCCCGAGCCCCGCAGCGCAGCACCTCGGGGTGCCGGCACAGACCCTGAGGCTTACCCATTGGGCAGACAGGAACTGGAGCCGTCAGGTCACCTGATGGCTGTTAGGGAAGGAGGGAGGGCGGCCCTTGTAGGCCAACCAGGACCCGGCGTTCAGTCCAGGTGACAGAGAGCTTTGATCACAAACCCTTTCCTTCAGCCGGGAAACAAGCGTCCCCTCACATCCCAGCCAGAAGTCCCGGATGCCCTCGAGTGGGCCAAGCCGACTCCTGCCCTGCCCCAGCCTGGCCCGGTGCACTGAGCCCAGCGAGGCGAGGCTGGGGCTGCCTGGGCCATGGTTGTGTCTCCCGCACCAGCTCGTACCAGGACGGGCACCACCATGCCTGGCTATGATAATTATTTTCTTTCTGTTTCACAACCAAGCAAATAACTGGATGCCAGCTTCTCAGACAGCACAAGCACCAACCCTGTTTATAGTCATGGGGGCTACCCCCTCAGTGTTCAGAGGCAGGCATAGGTCTTGGGGGCACAGATACCCCAGCATGCATCCTTCCTGACAGAGTCTCCTCCCTCTCCCCAGATCCGACCCAGTCCAGATCCTCAAGGAACCCAGATCGAATTGAAAGAATGGAACAATTGAATGAATCAGAAGAGGGGGTGAGTGTGGTGAGGCATGTGAGGGTGAGGGGTCTCCAAGAATTACAGACCCTTGACCAAGGAGGGGATGGAGAGATGTACAGTTCTGCATTGGGAACCTGGGTCTTTCTTCCTGTCACCTCAGGTGGGCTCTGTTGCCACCCACAAGCCCCACAGAGTTCATTCGCTAAAGCACAGCCCCTGCGAGCCAGGTCTGCTGCGGCCAAGGCTCTGCATCTTATTATGAGTTCTCCTCAGTTGCCACTCCTTGGGGAGCCCTGCCCTGGCTTCCAGGGCAGAGCCCCACTTTACGCACATTCCATGTAAGTGTAAAGATTCCGATTTTATTCCGGAGAGCTCTGAGGCTAACATAACTGCCCCCCCCCCCCGCGCCATCTAGGCCATCTGTTTAACACAAGTCAAGAACACAGCAGAAGAGGACACAAGGTGACACATCAGGACTGAGTGACATAGGGGACTGGCTGACCCCACCGAAGTGGCTGAGGTGCTTCCAGAGGGACAGGCCACCTGTCCCACCAGATGTCAAGCTCTGACTTTATCTCGCAGGGGATGGGGGGAGAGGGGGTGAGCAGCACACGAACTGAGCTCAAGGACACTGTCTACTCCTGGACACTGTGAATCATGACAGAGCAGTAAGGATTAGAATCAACCAGGTGGTGCACGCCTGTAATCCCAGCACTCAGGAGGCTGAGGCAGGAGGATTGTTATGAGTTCAAGACCAGCCTGGGCTACAAAGTGAGCTCAAGGCCAACCTGAACTGCACAGCGAGACCCTGTCTCAAAAGACAGAGAAAAGAATCAGCCACAGGACAAGCAGCACAGGGCAGAGGACGTGGGAGACCAGCACTACCTTCCAACTGCCTGTCCCAGAGGAGACAGCACCGACTCGCCCAGTGCTGGAGAACCCAAGAAATCAGAGTGACCCACGGGGAACAAGTATTTATTTTCCAGGATTTTAGATGCACATTGACCTAGCCAAACTCACGTTCCAAGTGTGCTGGGCATTTGAACAAAGGGAAGTTTCTAGTTTTGTGCCTTTGGCTCATGGGGGTGATTTTTAGAAACTGGTAGAGGGAAAAGCGGGGGTACAGAACCAACACAGAGTAATTAATAATCGTCTTTGTTACTTTTCTCATTACTGTGACAAAATACCTGATGCCCAAAGTTAAGAGAGAAAAGGTTTATTCAGTCCACATTTGTAGAGATGTCAGTCCATATTTGGCTGGCACATGGCAGAGGGGCATCAGTACTTGGTGGCAGAAGACAGCGAGAACATCAAGAACAAAAAAGGGGAAAACAAGCCTCTTCTATCTTCTCCAGACTGCTGGTACTAGGGCAGTACAAACCCTGTTGGTAGCCTGATCCAGCAGTCCCTCATAGTTAATCCCAGCACTGCACTGTGAATCAATTACAAACTCTAGATTCCATTAGCTACCTCTGAAAAACTCACATGAGGTTTTGGGGGACATCTAGCCATAACTATAACAATAACTTAGCCTTAAAAGAAGACAGAGCCTTACGAGTCCTGTGAGAACAAGATAACATAAATTCTGCCTCCAGGACATAGATGCCAGCTTTTTTTTCCCATTGTTATTTATTTATTGATTGATTTTGTCTTTTTGAGACAAGGTGTCACTATCCAGTTCAGGCTGACCTTGAACTCTCAGACTCTCAGGGATCTTCCTGCCTCAGCCTCTCACATGCTGGGATTATAGGCATGCACCACCATGCCTGCCCGTAGTTGCCAATTTTTTTTTTTTTTTTTGTCTTTTTCCTTTTTATCGGTACCAGGGATCGAACCCACGACTGCCTGCTTGCTTGTGCCGCTGAGCTAAATCTCCAGCCCCCTTAGTTGCCAATTTTACCTGCACCAGAGCAAGATATTATAGCTAAAGGGGAAGGGGTGAGCTCAAGGGGGCTTGATCTTTAAATCCTACTTAACTCCTCCCTTCAACGATGTCTGTAAATTTTAAGAGAGCATCACTGTCACAACAGGGAAGGGAGCTGGCTTCCTATTGGGTAGAGGGAGAAACGGTCCATTAGTGTTACTGTGTCTCTATGCTGATTCTCAAGCTTCGGCCATGGGTAGGCCAGTCAGCTTCCGGGGTGACCAGAGCAGGGCTGCCGTCTCTGGTAGCAGTGGGGGTGGACCAGATTATAGTCTGTGGCCCACCCCACATGAGTTCTTTTATTTCTATCTTTTTAATCAAAACAGAGTCCCCAGGTTGGAATGGGTATATCAGGTCTGCAGGCTTATGAGTGTTTTTTCCTTGTATAGTTACAGATGTCTTGCAAAGCTATTTTTAAGTGTATCTGTCCTTTTCTAGTTGACAGAGATCACCCTTAGTTTACCCATGTTTGGGGGATGCCTGCTGAACTGGATTTTATAAGGGGAATACTCTGTTTTGGTGGGCCTGTATCAGACTCAGAGCAGGACTGGGCAGGACTTGGTCTCATCCTGATGAGTTTCTTAACAATATCTTTAAACAGTTGTTTGAGTCTCTGATTTGTGGGCTCCATTGTTCTTGAGCTCTTCGGCCAGTAAACCATGGGAAGCTTTTATTTTACCTTCGATTATTCTATCTTACCCTGGGTGAGCTCCTGGACTGTCTTGGCTACAAATGTGGGTCCACTATTTGACCCCAAGGCCAGTGGTGGTCCAAATCTAGAACGATGTCTCTTGACCTCACCTTGGTCACCTCTTGTGCCTTTCCTGTTCGGGTGGGGAAAGTTCCACTCACACACATCAGCAGCCATGGGCTCAGGGCAGTTTAGTGAAGCCCACAGCCGCTCTTTACCTCGGGCAGCTCCTGTTTCCCCGGTGCCAGGGGGCCGGGTGAGCCCTTGTCTTCATTTTGCACACAGGTCAAGCACTGTTTACAAACAGCCTGAGCCACTACAGTGCCTCGGGGCACACAGAAACAGTACTCTAGGGATGCTTCCAGTGCTGTCTTTTCCACCTGCAACCCCAATAGAATTGTTTCATGAGCCTGGGTCCCAGCGCTTCGGGGATGATTCGCCTCCCATCAGGAAACTTCTATTATCCTTCCCCCATATATATTTTTTAACTTCTTGGCCAAAGCAGGCTTTTTTATTAGAAGAGCAATTTGGGGTCTCTGGGAAGGGCGGCTCTGTGATGAGGGGCATCGCCAGGGCCCCTCTTTGTTTTCCTCTTTTTCTACTGTTCCAGTTCTCCGGGGCGCCCTGTAGTACACAGTGACCGCTTTCCTAGAGGCCCCTCCAGCATCTAGGGGCTGTAAAACTTTTTATAATTTATCTCTTTTCCTGTGAGCATCAGAAGCCTGCCTGTCTATATTCGGGTCAGTACAGATGTTAATCTTTTTGTCCTTTGCCAGCCAAAGAGCCCTTGATATCAGTCCACCCATGAGAAGACATGAGAAGTAATGGCATCTTCTGGGGTCCATCAGGGTCATAGCTGAGGTTGGCGTCTGAACCGTCAGTCAGCTCCTTAGCCGGCCTTAGCTTAGCATCAGTGAGGTCTTATGGCCTGGGTATGAGGCCCTTTGATTTGTCTAAGTGTCTTTCCCTGGTCAGCTTTGCAGGGGAGGAGGAGTTCCCTTCTCCCCACTTTGCTGGTTTATCTGAATGTAGTGGCTTTGTTTTTGGTTTTGGCTTTGACCCGTGTCAAGCTCTTCTGCCGTGTCACCTCCTCCTCCACGAGTAGCCGTGGCCTCCAAGTCTCACTGGCCTTTCGATGCCAGCATTGTAGGTGACCGGAGCCGCGGGAGACAGGAGACCAAACTCGAGCAGGATCAGCTCTCAAACTTTATTACGTACAGCGAACCGGACCTAACAAGGTCCGCCACCCTCAACGTTGGTTCCTCTTCTGCCCGTTGGGGGCAGGAACAACCTCTTATAAGGGGAAGCAGTATCCAATCACAGAGAAGCGCGCCTAACAAGCTGATAGGCTAGCGTCACGGGTAACTGGGCAGATATGACAATTTGGCGGGCTTGTTCAGGCCGGGAAGAACCCGGAAGCAGGAAATGGGCGCCATCATAGGCGGCTTCCCACATCTCCCCCTTTTTTATTTATTAAAATAGGATGGTCTGTGGGTCCCTCCAAGGTGTCTATGACGTTGTTGCTGTTAAACACCTAGGAGTGGGCCTACCTTGTAGGCCGAGGCATGAGAGAATGTAGAGGTCTATACCCTGCTGTGCATCACCCTGTTTTGTGCATATCCTTGCGCCAGGACCATGCTCAAGGTGAGTGGTTCATTTTTTTGCAGGGCCAGGCTTTTGTGAACCGAACCTGGATGCATATAGACATTCATTCCTGCCTTCCCCCCAACCTTTGGGGCGGATGGCACTGCAGTACCCTTGGTCTCGCATCTCAATGCCAATAATTTGACTCCAGAGGGGACCCCTGGCCTTATAGGCCATGTATATCTGAGTGGAGCCTGTCTTAGGTTGACCGGGAGGGCTTTTCCCGTCTTACCCGTCATTGGCTTGCCCACTCAGCTCTTATAGCTGATGTTCTGCAATGTGAAGGAGATATGCGGCGGCCTGCTGGCCTGATGGGCCACCTGCTGCCATTTGCATGGCTGCCATAGCTGTGACCTTGACCTGTTGCTGGGTTTGCATGAGGCGATCTAACAAGCATTTAATAACCACAAGCCCCACTAGGATGGCCACGGCAATCAGGATCCAAGTAGTCAGGTTGGGCCAGGAGAACCAGGAGGTGACGCGTTCCCACAAACTGGCTATAACACTGCCTAAAGTTGATAAATTGAACCTGACTGGACCTAGTTGGATACCGTCCATATTGTCAAGTTCCTGACCGACTATGAGGGACAAATTGTGAAACTTAGGTAGGTGTCTTGCAGCCAAGCTGTCATATTTTTAACAGTGTTGGTCAAATTTGTGCGAACAGGGGTGATTAATAGGAACCCACAGAATAGAAAAGACTCCAAACCAGACATTTTAGTTTGTAGATGGTCTCGGGCGCTGAGCGTCGGTCCCAGAAGGGTCGAGTCAATCTTTCCGGGACCCACAGCGGTTCGTGACCTGGTTCCTGTGGGAAGACACAAACCGCACCTCGGGTCCAGCTAACCACTGGATCCGGGCCCATCCATTGTCCTGTAAGGACATCTTTCCATCTCACCAGCCCTTAAAAAATTTATGGTAAAGAGTGCCAATGATATTCTTCCTTTGGGCGTTAGGCCATGGCCACCCAATTCACGGCACAGGCGTGTCCACTCTTCTAAGGACCTATTTTTGTTAGTTCTTAGGACATCACGGCACTCCTTAGTGCACTGTTCAAAAATCAATTGTTTTATGAGAAGGTGGGCCGCCTCAGCATCTGGAAAAATCCTGTTAGCGGCCTCAAGCATGCGGGCCACAAAGTCTGAAAATGGCTCTCCCTGCCCTTGTATAATTTTTGTAAGGTGACCCGTATGTTCTCCCTTTCCAGCCAGCCGTCTCCAGGCCTGGAGGCCACAGCGGCTAATTTGTTCATAAACCTGGTGAGGGTATTGAGTTTGATCTTCCTCAAAGGCTCCTCGCCCTAATAGCATATCCCTGTTCCACTCTCTCTGGTTATTTTCCCTGTTGGCTGCCGCCTGCTCTACACAGAATTCCTCATTCCAGGACTTCCAATCTAAATATTGTCCGGGGGAGAGGCAGGCGCGTGCCAGCTGGGTCCAATCTCCAGGAGTTAAAAGCAGACCTGCCAATGCCTCTAAAAGCGCCATGGTAAATGGCGCATTGGGCCCATAAGCTGAAACTGCGTCCTTGATAGTTTTAAGTTGTTTAATTTCTAAGGGCTCATAATATCCTCCTCCTCCCCTGCCTCCTACTTGTACCGGGAATGCATGGAGACCGGAACACTCAAAGGGAAGCCGCGACCATACCCTCTGGTGGAAGGAACGTCCTCCTCCCTCCCCAGATGGGGGCGCAGAAGGCAACCCAGGAAGTAGCTCTCCCTCTAACCAGGGCGGTGCCATAGGTTGTGGTGGCAGCCCAGGGAGCAACTCCTCTTCCGGCCACGGCGGTGCAGTGGGGCCTGGCGCCCTGAAGGGGGTGATCGTGGGTCGCGAACTTGCCAAAGGGCGGAAGGGCTTAAGCTCCTCCCGTAAGGCGGAGTAGCTCGGGCAGGGTGGTGTTTGGTTCCCCTTTTTATCTTCCGGAGCCCTAAGTTCCTCTTTTAACGGTGTAGGAGGGTCATGCTTAGCAAAGACGACCTCCTCTTCTGAGCCTTCCGAATCCGAATCAGAATCGGAGCCCTTGTGTTTCTCTGGAGGCCCAAAGTCAGGTGTAACTTCGGGCTCCTCCGAGCACTCGGATCGAGCTTTGTCAAGAGGCTGTCGGGCTGAGCAAAGCCCGGGGGTTTGTTCGTCCGTCAGACAAGCCCTAATCAGTTCCCACAGGGGTAAAACCATGGGATCCAAGCGTCCCTCTTCTCGGGCGCATCTAAGAACCCCTCCTAACTTCTCCCATGACGGGAGGGTTAGAGAGCCCGTGGGCCAAAACCAGGGGGCAATCTCATTAACACTATCCAGAAACCTCGAAAGGGTGACCCGGTTTATGTAGATGCCTCGGGTCCGCAGCAGGACTCTTAGGGAGTCAGCGAGGGGTTTGCGAGCAGCGTTGCCCACAATGGCGAAGCGAAAGCGAAACAAATGCAAGGGAAAAAAAAAAAAAGACCGGCGTCCACCCGTGTGGCGCTCAAAATCTGTTAGGTGCGTCCACCCAACCCAGGCGATCCAGTACTCACCTGTCCCGGGAACCGCTGTATCTCACGTAGCTGATCAGGGTGAAGAGAAGAGGCGCTCGGGGCCTTCCGTTGTTATTGGGCCAGGTCCTCCGTCGTACCGCAGGCGACAGCAATCGCACCTCCCGGCCGAAGAGGCACGTCGCTGAGTCTTTTATTCCCCGTACGGGCGGCCACCAGATGACCGGAGCCGCGGGAGACAGGAGGCCAGACTCGAGCAGGATCAGCTCTCAAACTTTATTACGTACAGCGAACCGGACCTAACAAGGTCCGCCACCCTCAACGTTGGTTCCTCTTCTGCCCGTTGGGGGCAGGAACAACCTCTTATAAGGGGAAGCAGTATCCAATCACAGAGAAGCGCGTCTAACAAGCTGATAGGCTAGCGTCACGGGTAACTGGGCAGACATGACAATTTGGCGGGCTTGTTCAGGCCGGGAAGAACCCGGAAGCAGGAAATGGGCGCCATCATAGGCGGCTTCCCACAGTAGGCCCCGTCAGCCTCTTCATGAGCACTGTCATCTGCTGTCCTGCCTGTCACGTCTGCCCACAATGATTCCCAGAGACCATGTGTGAGCAGGCAGGCAGGCGGGAGAGCCAGGTTCCACACTGTGGGCTGGGATCAAGCCTCAAAAAAGAGGCTATGGCTTTCCAGGGCATAAAAGATTACATTTCAGAGCTGAAGCACCTACCCCAGAACGTTAGATGCTATCTCAGATTGCGTTGTGCGGATTACTGTTTCTGCATACCCTCCTCTCTGCACACTGCAGAGGTGACCTCAGGCCTCCTGCCTGTTCTCCCAGTCACCCATCCTCCAGCCACTCCCTGCTCCATAAATTAATAAACCCCAGGTTTGGCCCTGGCTCACAGCCTTTGTTCCACCAAGATTGGTTTAGGACAGTCAGCCAGCCTCAGAGTCGGATGAGGGAGCGTGCAGAGGGCATCTGCACAGGGCTTCCTCTGCAGGCTCCTGTGTGAATGTTCTCTGGCCTCACGGCGCGCCAATACTTTATCTCCACTGCCAAGTGTTGCTGCCAGGAGGCCCTGTTCGGTGTGTTCCTGTTGCGCAGTGCGTTCTGGGCCTGGCCGCAGATGGCAGCTCCAGGATCGCCGTCTGGGAGCAGATGCTGGCTTGCTTTGACTCTTTTTGGTCAGTATCCTTGTCTTTGTGTGTCAGTCATTTTTCTTTCTTCTGTGAGCCTCCGATGGGTGTTCTGTTTGTCCTCCTGGTCACCTCTGAAACCTGGGTCGCATTCCTGCCAGGACAGCCCCTCTGGCTTCTGTCAGTAAGCAGACAGACAGGGCTGGAGTGTGAGCGTCTATTCTGAGCTATGTTTAGTCAGTGCAGGGAAACTGAGCCTGCTGTCCTGGTGGTCATCTGCGCCCGTTTACCATCAGCTGGTTTACTGTCAATCCTCCACTCTCCAGGGGGCCGATGTATTTTTACTTCTGGGGTTCTTAACCTCTGGGGGTAGAAATCAGCTGTATTTCAGTTTCCTATATAGCCTCTCTTAAAGTTAGCCAACATACATTTTAAAGGGGTGGTTTTTAAGTTTTATTCCTGTATCTACTCTGTTGTGATGCAGACCAGTTTCTTAAGCACTTTTTTAAAATGTCAATTTGATCTTTTTCCTTGCCCAAAGCAGTTTTTAGAATAAACAACCTGAACTCCCCTAAATTAACAAGGAAACCACATGCATGCTTTATTTAATAAGCTCCTTCCGTAAACTTTCCTCAGTGTGCATAAGCTTTTTGGTCTTGGCTTCATCTCATTTTGTATCTATTTAGCACAACAAGACTTTTACATATCATCTCATATCAAAAGTATTTATACTCTTATATTTATAACTTTCTTAGTTTTTGTCTTTCTACTGTATTATAATAAATTTGACTGGAATTTTGCTGGAATTTTGAAGTGTCTTCTTTCCCTCAGGTGATAAACTTGACCAACTACCAGTGTTCTCCTCTCAGAGGGCAAAGAGCAAGTTAACCCTGTAACTGCAATTTAAGAATTTGCAAGGCACGAGAAACGTTTTAGGCACATCAACTTAAACTGGAAACCTTTACGGATTAGCGGGCTGGGGATTTAGCTCAGTGGCACAAGCGCCTGCCTGTAGGGATGAGGTCACCGGTTCGATCCCCAGTTAAAAACAAAAATACCAATTAGTTAAAATTTGTCATTTCATTTTTTCTGTAAAACTTGCTTTGGCCCAACAGGGCTTTGTGGCCATGCAGCCCCAGACCAGAGCTGCTGCAGCTCTTAGACGCCAACGGGCAGCCGGCACCAGGTGGGAGGCACTGAGCCAGAGCTGGCCTTGGGGCTCCGGAAGCCCGAAGGGGACCTGGGCTCGGACCACCCTGCACTCACTGATCCACCCCTCCGGGATCACTGTCATCACCCCATTTTACAGACCGTTTCTGTCTCTGTTTTTTTCTATCAAGCTGTCCACAGCCTCCCCTGCTGTATATCCTGGTGCAACAAAGCTAAATAGCTTTTTCATGTGTTTGCCCAATTAGACCACTTTCCTCTCCCAAGCCCTGGCTGAGTGCAGGAGACCTTGGGCTCACACATTTTATTTTGTTTCTACATACATTTATATATATATATATATATATATATATATATATATATATATATATTTTTTTTTTTTTTTTTTTTTTTTTTTTTTTTTTTTTGGTCCCCCCTAGGTGTTTTCCATCTGGGTGTGGGATTCTCCAGCCCGTCCGGTTTTGGGCTGCACCTGTAATTCCAGCACTGTCTTTGAGGTTCTCTCCAAGCGGGTCACCCCTGCGTTTCGTTTGGCTCTCATGGCAAGCTGCTGGAGAGTCAGTCTCGGGCAAGCTGCTCTCCGGCATGGGCCTGTCCCACCCGTTGTTAGCAACTCACCTGACCGAGTCAGGGACAGTGGGCCGCTCCTGCGTCCAGCATCTCTAAGAACCAGTTCTCCAATCGTTGCTGCAGGCACGCCTGCTGGAGTGCAGGTCAGATGACTAGGTACTCCCCAGGAGGTGACCAGGCTCCCCCTCTGTCCTAACAGGACAAGGCTTCCCCCCGGGACCCCTAAAACCTTACAGTGGGCCTGTTGAATGCAAGTGCCCCAGAATCATCCTGAATCCCCTCAGGTTCCATTTGTGCTGCCGTGGGAGGGCTGGTTCCTCTCCACGGTTTCTCCAGTGGCACCAGAGGTCTCAGGACCTAGCTTTACACATTTAGGTGAGGGGTTGGGCTTTAGAAATGGGGGAAGGAGAGACAAGCAAAGGTACAGAGACCAGACAGAGCAGCTGAGTCCTGCAAGAACAGGATGACGGAAATTGTCAATGGGCGCAGCTGCCAATCTTACCTGGACCAGAACAAGAAGTTACAGCTGGGCTGGGGGCTCAAGACACCTTGCTCTTTAAGTCCTGCTTCACCACCAGTGACACCGCAGCACACAGGAGGCATCACCAGCCAGGAAAGCCGAGAGAGACCTTCACAGCCAGAGTCTGTGTCAGGGCCGACGCTGTGGCCCAGCTCTTCCCGGGCCCTGCCGTGAGGGACACTCCCAGTGTGGGCACCCAGAGTGGCTCAGGTCCCCAGATGAACTGTACAGCGGGCTGTGTAAGGGCTTTGAGGTGACCACCCAGGCACAGGGACAAAAGGCCAGATCTCCCTGTGGGCAGGGCTGACCCTTTACTGCAGAATGGCCTAGCTGAATGTTCCTGACACTGAGCTTCCAGATCTGTGTCTCTGTCCAGTCCCTGGAGTTACAAGAAACAGAGACTGGAACTCAGGTCCCAGGCAGCTGCCTGGGTTGTTAGAGAAGTAGGAGGAAGGGTGGATAGATGTGAACTTGGGGGCCATGGGCTCTAGCAACCTTTGCTGGTGCCCCTGCAGCTATGAAACTCCGTGAGGCAGAGCTGCTCAGATGCTGCTGATAAATTTGCTTAAAAGGCCTGTAGGGGAGTGGGGCGCATTCAGAGGTGGAGGTCGCACCTAGTGTGCTCAGGACCTGAGGACCACCCCTACCAGCGCAAGAGAAAGTGAAAGAAAAGGTCAGCAAGCTTGGAGGCTGCAAGAGAAAACACTGGAGCACAATTAGGGCTTGCCTGGGAGCTGAGAGAGCTCACAGCGTGAAGGGCTCCCGGAGAAGGAAGAGCAGGGATGGGACCACAGGGGGCCCAGCCCCGTGGGGAGAGCTGGGCAGACCGGGAGATTGGGGGGTTTTCTGGGTGATCCTCTGCCCCCGCACCTCACTGAAGCCTCTTTATTTTCTCTCCCAGAGGGCTGTCTACAGAGGGGCCTTTGTGGGGATCAGGGGGCGGAGTTTGTGTGGAGTGATGGGAGACTGTCCCATCACCACATGGGACAGAACCAGGAGTGCAGATGTAAGGCCCTGAATCAAGAGAAACGCCAGCATCTGCCTCCCCCCAAGATTCTCCAACTCTTTTCTCCTGCCCTGTCTCCCCCACTCCACCCCTTTAATACTTCAATAGGACCAAACAGACAAGCTAGAAAACCCATCAGGGATTCATGCTGAGCTCACTCGTTTGCATATGGGTATCCAGTTTTGCACAACCTTGGGGATGCCATTAATGCCACCAAATTGTCCATTTTAAAAGTTTACATGGAAGCCAGGCACAGTGGCACATATCTGTCATGACAGCACTCTGGAGGCTGAGGCAGGAGGATGACAAGTTCAAGGTCAACCCGGGCTATAGAATGAAACCCTGCCTCAAAAACAATAACCCCAGGGCTGGGGATTTAGCTCAGCAGCACAAGCGCCTGCTTGGCAAGCTTGAGGTCATGAATTCGATTCCCAGTATAGAAAGAAAAACCTCACCCACACACACAAAAAAAAGTATGGTGTCATAGGGTTATAATCCCACACGCTGAGGGGTTGAAGCAGATGAATCACAAGTTTGAGCCTAGCAGGCCACAGTCTTAAAATAAAACTAAATAAATAAATGAGCTGGGTATGTAGCTCAGTGAACCCTGGGCTGTAGTCTCCAGTAGAAAGTAAGCAAGCAAGAAAGAAACCAGTGAATCAATCTTATTAGCAGAAGCTTAGTAACTTGGAAAGCACAGAATCAGCACTGCGAGCGCAGCTCAGGGGTGCAGCACTGGCTTAGATGTGTGGGGCTCCATCCCAGCCCCAAAACAACATCATTTCTGTCCGGGTCCTGGAGCTCAGACGTCCGAAGTGAGTTCAGCAGGTTACAGTCGGCTGTCAGCAGCACCTGCTTACACCCATAAGGGAAAATCTGGTCGCTGCGCCTTCCAGCTTGGAGACACCACCTTCTCAGACTCAGGCAGCCTACGTGCACCACGCATGCCCAGAACGAGCTACTGGGGGGGGGGGGGGTGCTGCGCGGCAGGACGCTCCTCTCCTCTCGCGAGATCACGTGGAGCTGAAGAATCCCACCACTCAACCAATCCCTGGTCAGAAGGAGAGGGGGCAAAACCAGTTAGTAACTAACACCAGCCTCTGGGTAGCTGCGAGACTGAACTTCATTCTGTGCTTTGGGACACAGTCTATAAATGTGCTGAAATGAATGTGGACTCTTCGTGTGTGTGTGTGTGTGTGTGTGTGTGTGTGTGTGTGTGTGTGTGTGTGCTGGGAGCTGAACCCAAGGTGTCCAACACTGAGTCACGTACCCCAGTCTTTTTTATTTTGATAGGGAGTCTTGGTAAGTGGTCCAGGCTGGGCTTGAACTTGGGATCCTCCTTGTCTCAGCCTCCCAGAGTGATCAGGCTACAGGCAGTGGGAGAGAGGGCTCTTCCTTTTTAATAATGCAAAAGGAGAGCAAGAGCAAGAGCCAGAATGAGAGAGAGACAGACTTAGAGACAATCTCCAGGGGCCAGAGATTTAGCTCAGCAGCCAGCGTAAGCACCTGCCTGGGAAGCATGAAGTCCTGAGTTGGATCCCTGGTGAGAGAGAGAGACAGAGACAGAGAGAATTTCCAGCAACTGGAAAATCTAGACCGGCTGGCTTTGCCAAGTGCACTACCTGGAAATGACTGCTGGGATGTGCCAATCTGTCCCTGGCAGACACAGGAAGCTATAGCAAGGAGGAGGGAGAGGGCGTGGGGACCCTAGGTGACCTCTCAGCTGGGGGAGGTGGGGCGAGCCCAAGACTAAGCCCAGCAGTGCTGGTACCAAGCACAGGCACGAGGAGCCTGCGGCTGCTCGGCCGCTGCTCCCAGCACCCTGCGAGGGGGCAGCTGTAGCTCCCACCAGGGAAGAAGCTGAGGCTCCCCGGAGAGAGGGAGCCTCTCCGTCTGCAGCTGTTTGCTGTTGGTCCCCTGGGCCACAACAGGGCGCTCAAGGAGGTCTGGAGTCAAGGCACCTCACCTGCCCCAACCTGGGGACCACACGACACCATGACCTGTGACCAGCTGGGCACAGACTTCACCAGGGCAGCCAGCCTGCCACTGCCCACCCAGATCTCCACAGGGCACCCAGCCCCTATAAACCTCTGGAACAATAAAGACAGTACTTCCTATCTGTGCTGGCCCGTGTGACAGCCACTGACCACATGGCGCTGGTGAACAGGTGGACGTTTGAGGGGCTCAAACTGTTTGAGGCATTCGGTGACGCACACCTGTGATCCCAGCACTTGGGGAGGCTGAGGCAGGAGGGTCCCTGTAGTTCAAGGCCAGCCTGGGCTACACAGTGTGCTCAAGGCCAGCCTGAACTGCATAGTGAGACCCTGTGTCCACAAAAAGTATAAGTACATAGCAAATGTATGAAGTATATTAAGTAAAATATATATTTAAATGGCTATTTAATTTTTTGTACGTTTTAAGTGATTATTTAAATTCACATTAATTAATTGTAATTATCATTGTAGCTGATGGCTGCGTGTTAGACAGCTCAAGCCTGGACCTGCCACCACCCAGACTCTGTCTAGACGCACTCCAAAGCCAGGCAGGGCATGGTGGCAGCTGACTATGAGCACACTCACTCTGGAGCCCCGCCCGGGCTGCTTAGGCAGAGCTGTGGAATCTGAAAAGTTAAAAAGACTAAGGATGTAGCTCAGCACTAAGTTCAAGCTCCAAGTTTGGGGGGTGGGGACAGCGATGACTGATGGCCCCCACTGCCCCAGCCTCGCACAGGCATGGTGTGCACACACACCCCCTCCTGCCACCCGAGTCCAAGAAATCAACGGCCTGGCTCCACCTCGGCCCACACCATCAGCCAGCCTCACCCCACCCACCCACCCATCAGCTGTCCCATTTCCCTGCCCTTCCAGGGCGCAGCTGAGCTGTGGCCTCCCAGCCCATCAGGCCAGGTAGGTGGCCCTTGGGCTCTCCTTGGCCACTGGGCTGTCCCCTGTGAGCCCCCTGAGGAATGAGGGCCAGCTGGAGACCTCTGTCATCACCGTCTGTGCAAACAGGCACCGGGAATGCATGCTAAAGGGAAGGAAGGAAGGAAGGAAGGAAGGAAGTTAGTTTTGGAAAAACCTAAGGAGCTAGGCACAGGGGTGCACGCCTATGATGCCAGCAGTCTGGTAGGCTGAGGCAGGAGGATCGCAAATTCAAATGCAGCCTGAGTGACTTAGCAATTTAGCATGATCCTGTCTCCAAATAAAAAATGAAGGGCTGGGAATATAGCTCTGTGCAAAAACCCTGCGTTCAACCCCTAGTAGTATATAGAAAGAAAGAAAAAAGCAAAGTACTTCAGAATGAGCCAGCTGTGGGTGCAGGGCCCCTTCTACCTTCCCTCCCAGAAGATGTGCCTGTATCCCTAGGCCTCAGTCTCCCCATTTGTGCAATGGGCACAGCTGTGCAGTGCTGCCCCACAAGTTGTATGACAGAGGATGGCTTAACCAGAAGCCACGGTGACAGTCATGCCGGGTGGGAAGAAGAGGTTAAGGGGACCAAGGAGGAGCCTGGGAAAGCGGGTGGGCAAGTCCCCAGTCACTTGGGAAACTGGTTCAGCTAGTGTCTGCACTGCCACCCGCCGGCACACAAGTCAGGCTGTGAAAAGGGACATGAGGCTGGGCCGGCTGACTCTGTCCTGGGGACACTGTCCCCAGGACCTCCACTGAGCTGGGCTGCTTCAGAGAGCCAGGGCTGGCGCTCTGGCCCCCTCGGTGCCAGGCCATGGCCAGAGGACCTGAGATGGAGACCCCTGCGGGAACCCTGGGCTGCTTCTCAGCGGGGCTCCTGCTGTCTGGTAAGAGGGGCCAGCCCTGGGGGCTGGGGGAGACAGGGACCCAGCTCTGACAGAAACTTCCCCGGAGGAGGGGGAGATGTGGGACAGGAAGTGATCAGAGCAGGATCAGGCAGGGCAGCAGAATCGGCTTCATCCTCTTTTTCTGTGTCTGTCTTTTGAGACAGCGTCTCTGTAGTTTAAGCTGGTCTTGAACTCTCTATGTGGCCCAGGCTGGCTTCACGTTTGTGGTGATCCTCCTGCCTCGCTCTTCTGAATGCTGGGATTACAGGCATGCACAGCCACACCCGGCATCCTCATTTTATCCATGGAGTTGTCCAGGATGTCAGGACCACGAGGACGGGAATTTATTCAGCTCTCTGCTGTACCCCAGTGTTGAGATCCGGGGAACTGACACACATAGCAGTACAATGGTTGGTTAGTATGGTAGCTCTTACTAGTATTGTTAAAATGTGTAAGAGATATTATACCCAGTATAAGTATTGGAGGCATGGATGGACAGGTGAATGGATTGATGGATGGATGGATTCAGAGAGTCCAAGCATTTCAGGGCAGGCCACATAACATCACAGGGAAGACAAATCCTCTAAACCAAGACAAAAAGAAGGAGGGAGAGGAGGAAGGGGAAGGGGGAGGAGGAGGGGGAGGAGTGAGGGGAGGGGGAGGAGGGGAGGGGGAGGAGGGGAGGGGGAGGAGGGGAGGGGGAGGGGGAGGAGGGGAGGGGGAGGGGGAGGAGGGGAGGGGGAGGGGAAGGGGAGGGGGGAGGGGAGGAGGAGAAAAAGCAGCAGCAGTGGCGACAGCAGCTGGGCACAGCGCTGCACACCTATAAATCCCGGCACTCAGGAGGCTGAGATAGGAGGGTAGTTGTGAGTTCAAGACCAGCCTGGGGTACAAAGTAAGCTCAAGGCCAGCCTGAACTGTATAGTGAGACCCTCAAAAAAAAAAAAAAAAAACCCTCTCTGGCCCAATGAGATGGCAGATCTGTGGCGTCAGCACCTTTCTTCCTATGCCTGATGCAGAGCAGACATCACTAGTGAATCCCCGCACTGCTCTCAGCACACAGTGCTTGGAGCTCTTTCGGATGAGGACCCACGGGGAGGAGAATACTGTGCCCTGTCCACCGACTCCCCGTCTCACGCTGTTCCCATAACCTCCTCCAGCCTCAGTCCTGGCACTCTGGCTGCCCCACGGCACCCAGGCAGCTCTCCGCATCCAGAAGATTCCAGAGCATCCTCAAAAGAACCAGGACCTCCTCCTGTCCGTCCAGGGCGTCCCCAGCACCTTCCAGGACTTCATGTGGTACCTGGGGGAGGAGGCCGACGGGGGCACAAGGCTGTTCACCTACATCCCCGGGCTCCAGCGGCCCCAGCGGGACGGCAGCGCCATGGGGCAGCGCGACATTGTGGGCTTCCCCAACGGCTCCATGCTGCTGCGGCGGGCCCAGCCTTCAGACAGCGGCACCTACCAGGTGGCCATCGCCGTCAACCCCGCCTGGACCTTGCGGGCCAAGACCAAGGTCCGGGTGGCCAGTGAGTACCGGGGGCCTGGAGAGGGGTGGGAAGCTGGGGGGCAGCGCCGTGAGCCAGGCCCAGTGCAGAGCCCGTGCCGGTCCCCATCCGCCCGTCAGCACACACTGGCCGAGCCCCGTCACCTACCTGTATTTCGAGACAGAGCCGGGCTGAGTTGCCCACTGCCATCGCCCTCCCACCTCCTAGAGCTCGGGGGTCGCAGGCTGGGGTTACAGTTTAGTTTTCCACCCTCAGCACCCTGACATTTCCGACCAGTGAGTATTCTGGAGCTGCAGCGAGGGCTCCCAGCATTTGGGTCCTGCTCACCACATTCCAGTGGCACCTTCCTAAGCCTTGACAACCAAAGACATCTCCAGATTCATCTCCCAGAGCGAAATCACCCCTGCTGGGAACCACTGCCCTAAAGTAATTTATTTTTACCTTTAAACAGCTGCCGGAGTCCGGTACAGTGGTACACACCTGTAATCCTTGGACTCTGGGAGGCTGAGGCAGGAGGATGGCCACTAATTTGAGGCCAGCCTGGCTGTCTTAAACAAAAATCTACATGAGGCAGGCATCAAGATTTCCATTTTACAGATGGGGAAATTGAGGCACAGAGAGGTTGTGATTTTCTCAGTAAAGAGAATGAACCAGGATGACAGGAGGTACAAAGGAGGTCATCGGGACAGATTGACTGCAGAAGTGACATGTGAGGACAGACCAGGACAGAGTTGTCACGGGAAGAAGATGTCATGACCTGAATATTTGTCCCCCACCCCAAAATTCATACATTGAAATCCTAATCCTCAAGGTGACGGCATTATAAAGTGGGGTTTGCGCTGTTTCTGTCCTTCTCTGCACTTCTGGAGATGCCCACAGGGCCTTTGCACATGCTACTATCACAGAGCAGTGGCCCCAGCCCAAAAGGTGGGACCCTGGGAGGTGACCAGATTGGCAGGGTGGAGAGCTCATGAGTGGGTTCAGTGTCCCTTAAAAAAGGCCCACAGGAGCCTGGCGACCCTGAGATCACTGAGAAGCCCACAGCCCAGAGGGGTCCTCAGCAGGACCAAGCACTCTGGCTGGGATTGAGCTCCAGGCACAGGGAGATCGAGGGCTGAGGCTCTGAGTGCAGACTGGCCCAGTGCAGTCAACGCACAGGTGGCAGCAGGCTGCTGTGACTCAGGCTGAGTGAGGAGGGGATGGGAGGCAAGATGTGCAGGGTTTCCAGGGCTCGCAGCCCAACGGGAACACAGACTCTAACCGGGGGCCACATGGCTGTGAAAACCGTGCAGGAAGTGTGAGGCTGTGAACAGGGGCTCCACAGTGAGTCTGGGCTTCAGTGATCCCTGGAAATGTCTGGGGAGAGAGGAAAAGAATGGGGGGAGGTGTTTGGGCCTAGCTCAGCCTATACAAAGGGCCTGTGGCAGGACATTGTAGGGCCCAGCAATGCTTGGGCAGGAAAGCAAGAAAGGACATCCTAGGACAGGCATGGTGGCACATGCCTATAATAATAACAGCTATTCAGGAAGCTAAGGCAGAACTTCAAGTTCAAGGCCAGCCTGGGAAATTTACTAAAACCCCATCTCTAAGTACTATAAGATTTTTTTTTAAGTGCTGGGGATATAGCTCAGTGGTAGAGTTCTCGCCTAAAATGTGTGAGGTCCTCGGTTCCAAACTCACCAAAAAAAGCAAAATAAAGCCAGGCATGGCAGTACACACCTGTAACCCCAGTGGCAGGTGGAGACAGGAGGATCTCAGTGAATCTGAGGCCAGCCTGGGATACACAGTAAGTTCAAGGCAGCCTGAACTGCATAGCAAGACCCTGTCTCAAAAATAAAAGACCCTGTCAACAAAACAAAAAATAATTTTAAAAAGAAGCAGGTTCAGAAGTTCCAGGGCATTCTGTGGTCCTGCAGGGCTGGTAGCAGTGACTTGGGCTCTTCAGGGACCAGACACAGGCTGCTCTGACACTGACACCCACGGTGCTTGAGCACAGAGCCTGACTCCTCTTTCCTGACGTCCATGCGTCCTCTGTGACCTCCCAGCTATGCAGGAGGACACCATTTCACAGATGGGGAAACTGAGGCACAGTTTCAGGCGCTCACCCAGGGCACCCACTGAAGAGCAACAGATGTAGGACTTGAACCCAGGTCGGCGCTCAGAGTCCAGCTCAGGGCTGTGTCTTTCCCCTACTTCACCCTTCGGGCACCCAGAGGCGCTGGTGGGGTGAAGTCTAGCCTTCAGTATTCTTTAGGGAGAGAAGGGAGACCACGCAGAGTCTGGAAACCAGACAGCTCTGGCCTGGAAGCAGGGACCTGCACGTCAGAGTCCCGTGGACGGTCACGCCTGGGCTGCCGGGATGTCACACAGCTCTCTTGCCCGCAGAGAGGCAGGAGGACCTGCCCACCGCCACCACACACCTATCCATGAGCCCGGGCGTCATGGTGGCCGCCATTGTGGGGCCTCTGGCCGCTGGGGCCCTGCTCGTGAGCAGCATCACCTGCCTCCTGGTTTTGAGAGACCGCAGGGGCCCAAGCTCCAGGTACCGCCCGGCTGTCTCCTCCCTCTCCCTGCCTATCCATGGCCCCCTGGTGGACCGGGCTGCCCAGCCTCCCTGGTCCCCGGCACCTCTTTATCCTGATGCAGCTCCTTCTGCGCCCCCAGGGCGACGACCACAGGGAAGCCGGAGCTGAGCCCCCACCCTGACCCTGGTAAGCAGGAGCCTGGGTCTCACCACCCAGCTCTCCCCAGACCCTCTGCCTTCACCTTGGGGCACCCATCCCCTGCCCCAGCAGACCTCAGCAGTTCTCCAGGACCCAACCCGGCACAGCAGTGCCCTCCCCAAACCTGCCTCTCCTCCCTTCCGTCACGTGGGGGCTCCCATCCACCCCACAGGTCACTGCCAGGTGGGGTGCCCACCCTTGTCCCTCTGCTCCAACACCCCCATGGCTTCCCTGTGCCCTCTTTGCTAAGCCCCCTCGCCTCTCTCCTGGCCTCTGGTCATGCCCCTGGCTTTCTCCTCCCGGGGGACCCAGGCTGGGCAGCAGCCGCCTCCCCAGGCCCTCTCCTCTCTGCCGCCTTGAGGTTCCCCTCTTCCCGGAAGCCTCCTCTGACCCGCAGGCTGTCCCCCAACCCTGGACACTCTGGGTTCTCACCGTCCACTGTCACAGCGGGCTGGGAGCCCCAGAAGGCTTGGGCTGTCCTGGTCACCTCTGTGTCCCCAGCGCATGGTCCAGCAGGAGGAGGGACAGCAGATGAATCGGTGACTGTCACACACCACCTGTTCGCTGGCCTCCCCTCTTGTCCTCCGCTTCAGGTGACAACATTTATGAAGTAATGCCATCTCGGCACCCCCTGGGGTCCCCTGCCAGTGACGCGGGGCCCGTGAACTCAGCCACGGTGAGTCCCAGCACCACCTTCTCCCTGAAGCCAGCTTCCAGCAGTGGCCTCCCCTGAGTTGCTGGTGGCACCCTGGGGTGCCTCAGCACCTGGTTTGGAAACGTGTCTCCATCCGTCTGCCTCTGTCCCTGCCCCTGCCCCTGCCCCTGCCCCTGCCTCTGTCTCTGTCTCTGTCTCTGTCTCTGTCTCTGCCTCTGCCTCTCTCTCCCTCCTGAGACAGAGGCTGAATGGAGCAGCCCAGGGCTGCAGGACCAAGGCTGCACTGAGCGGCTTCTGTCCTGGGGCGTCGCAGGGAAGGAGGGAGGGAGTTAAGCGAGTTGTTTAAACCCAGTGACAGGAGGAGGTTGCCGAGCAGAGGCCCAGCACTGAGGCCTGGATGTGGCCGGAGCTGAGCGCTGGGGTGGGGGTGGGGAGGACCTCTGAGCCCTGTGCCCTGTCACCAGGGCAGCGACATGCAGGCAGGCACCTTCCTTAGCCCAAGGCCCTCACAGCGGGGAAGAGGAGCATCAGGAAGTTTGAATCCAGGCCTGGTAATCCAGGCCAGGCCTGGGCAAGTGTGGGGAACACCTGCGATCCCAGTTATCCGGGAGGCTGAGGCAGGAGGGTCACAAGTTTGACCCCAGCCTGGGCAACTTAGTGACTCAGCAAAACCCTGACTCAGAATAAAAATTAAAAAGGGCTGGGGGTGTGGCTCGCTGCACAGGTCCTGAGGTCAATGCCCAGCACCAAAAAAAGAAAAAATAAAAGTAAAACCAGCAAAGCAGAGGCGGTGGGTGCCTGGCTCAGCCCCCCTTTCCTTGCAGCCCCCCAGCGTGCCCCCGCCCCTGCCACCAGAGCCGGAGAATCACCACTACCAGGTGTGGAGGGGACTGGGGGCCCCTGGGACCCTGGGAGGGATGCAGAGGACCCACGGGGACACCCCCATCACTGCTCCCCAAGCCGAAAGATCACGGCTCCCAGGGACACCCTGGGAAGCCCCCTCCCCACAGCCTGCATGCCTGTGGGCCTTGGATGACACAGGAGGAGCAAAGCCCAGGGAGGGCGGCGGGCGCCCAGGGTCACACAGCGGGCCGGCGGTCAGTCCATCTCGGGGCCCTTTCCGCCCCTCCTTCCCCCCAACCGTAATCACTCTCCCCCCAGGACCTGCTGAACCCCGACTCTGCCCCTTACTGCCAGCTGGTGCCCACGTCTTCCTGAGGGCGCCCGGGAGCCGGGCCTTCCTGGGCCGGGGGTAACACTGCAGAAAACACCCGCAGGACGAGGCCATGAGGCTCCAGTGAGGTAGATGGGGCCACACACCCTGCGCTGGCTAGCACAGGGCAGGGCAGGGACAGGCCCAGCTCCTCACGTGGCCTTGTGTCTGCAGAAGCCAGCACCGCCTCCGCTGGGCCATAGCCCCATCCGGATATCCTGGGGCCCTCGGTGGCCTCATGGGCACCCACGTGCCAGGCTCCCAGCTCTTTATCCTCAGCATCCCAACCCACTCCACTGGGGTCAGGTGGCCCCCACCACAGAATCTGCTGCCGACTTCTGGGTATCGGCACCCCGCCCATCCCAACCTCTCAGGGCAGCAGCTGATCCCAGCCCAAGCGTGGCTCAGCTTTTCACTCCAACTCCCTCACTCACTCAGCAATAAATGAGCTCTTGCTGTATGCAGGCACCATGGAGGCCTTTGAAGCTGGGGCAGGAAACAGCACATGCAAACTCCTACTCACCCGGAGGAACTCTGGGGCACAAGAGAGAATTCAAAAAATGAAACAACTACCTGGCAACTGCCCCAAGGAAAATCGAGAAGGGAGGAGGACCTAGAGATTGGGAATTGGGAGAGCAGAGAAGGCCTCACCAAGGTGACAAATAAGCAGAAATCTGAAGGAGGAAAAGAGGGCCCCGGGGTGGTCCTAGAGAGAGAGCATCCCACCCACAGAGCAGCAGGGAGACGGTGCGGTGGAAGCAGAGAGAGGGAAGGGAAAAGGAAGGGAAACGAGGTTGCAGAGATGGGAGGGGCGGATCGTGCAGGGCCATGTCAGACGCAAGCCTGCAGTCCCAGCAGTTGGGAGGCTGACGCAGGAGGATCCCAAATAGCAATTTGGAGAGACCTTGTCTCAAAATTGAAAAGCTGAAAATGAGCTGAGGTTGTGGCTCAGTGGGAAGGCCCTGGGTCCAATCCTCGTACTGAAAAAACAAAAAGGAGTTCTGTAGGGTGAGAAGGCTGTGTAACCAGACGATGTCACTCAAAGCTGTCTACATCCTAATCGCGGCTGAACGTCACCTCAGATGACAAAAGACAGCAGCCACGCTTACACCCAGGATCTGGAGATGGGAGGCGACCCTGAGTTTCCCGGGGTGCCCGGGGTCCCCCCATATGTCATCATAGACCCCTTGGAGAGGGACAAGGGGAGAGTCAGGCCGGAAGGAGCTGTGAGCACGGCAGGGGCAGAGCTGGCAGGATGCGCGTCCCGGAGGCGGGATACACTTGCTGGAGACCCAGGAGTGAGGGTTAAGCCTCGGAGCACAGGGAGTGCTGGAAAAGCAGACACACAGAGCTCAGGATGAGCACAGCCGAGGCAGCCAAGGACACGGGCTGCTGACACCCGTTCCAGAGCAACAGAGCCGCTGACCTCAGAGAGCAGAGTCCTCTTCACTGGCACAGTTTACACTTAGAGAAGTCTTTGAACGGACTCCCAAGGTCCTGTTCAGTTCCTGAGCTGCCTCTGTATCCCCCCCTGTGGCTGATTAAAAACACGTGGGGTTCTGGTGTTCTTTGTCTCAACCCCCAGGGAATCACGAATTCCGTGTGAGGGTTTTGACCTTCCTGGAGCCCTGAAATCATACACTTCACTCATTTAGGAGGTTGCCTCATCAGTCCGAGATGGCACAGGCCAGTCCCCTACCCCACCCGGGCAGAGCAGCGGTGCCACAGGAGACAGTTCCCATCAGCCCTTGAGAGCTGTGATGACACAGAGCCCTCTCGAAGCAGAAAAGGCAAGGACACAGCTTCTCCCCTCAAGCCACCAGCAAGCTCCCAGCCCCGCCAACACCTTCACTCCAGAAACCCACTCTAGTTTGTTTTGGTTTTGTTTGCGAGATAGGATCTGTGTAGCTCAGGCCGGCCTCAAAATCTTGGCGATCTTCCTGCCTCAGCCTCCCGAGTGCTAAGATTACAGGTGTCCAACACCAAGCCCAGCGAGATTACTTTAGGCTCTGGACCACCTGAGCTGTAAAATAATAAACGTGTGTTGGCTTAAACCACTTCGTTTGTGGCTCTTTGTTCCAGCAGCTGTAGGAAAGTAATATGGAGGATGAAGAAAAATTCAAAGGAGGGCAAGTCACAGTTCAGGCTGGTGCAGCGCAGAGATGCTGGGGTGAGGGATTTCTCTGTCCCCAATCTCTTAAACACTTGGTGACTGTCCCTTAAACCTCCTCCTGATTAAGATGGTCAGTCAGGGCTTAGAGATCCAGACTTTGTCCATAGGCCTCCCTTCTTCTATTCTGGCCACTGCTTATCAAGCCTGGATACCCATTTTCTTTTTCTTCCTACGAGTTTTTAACCAGGCATTTGGCTGCCTACTGTAACATAAAAACTACATTTCCCAAGAGTCCTTGCAGCTCTAAGTGCATCATGTGACTAACTGCAGGCCAATGGGGTGTAAGCAGAAACTACACAAGCCTTTCATAGGTCCTGTGTTTCAAGGGATGGCAATCTCTCGTCTCCCAGTTTCCCTTCCCCTGGGGTTGGAGAAGTTAGTGGGAGCCGCGCGTTGGGTCATGTGGCTGAGGGCAAGACACTGAAATGGGACAGGGCCAAATGAGAAAAACCACTGTTATGTTGGGATTCTGTCACTCAACTCCTTTAAATTCTATATCATATAAGCCCACCCCCGAAATGGAGCATTGATAGTGCTCTGAGGACTCAGTGCCACTCACACATTTCATTGGAACAAGTCACGTGGTACAAACTAATGCCAGAGATGCGGACAAGTGTGATGCTACCAGGAACCCCAGAAGAGGGCGCTCTGGAGGCTGGTAGAAGCTGCTTAGAGACTGAACCATTAGGATTCAAACCCAAACCCAGGGGACTGCGCTACTTTCCGGAGGACCGTCGGGCCGTCTGTCCACTGCCGTCGTGACCCTTCACTCATGCAGCAGACCCCGGGCTGGAGCAGCCGGGTGCGCAAGAATGACAGGATATTTGGAATAACACAGCAGAGGGAGGCAGAGACGGTGGGGAGCTGACCTCAGCATGGTGGCGGCCGCGTGCCCTCCCAGCACTCAGGAGGCTGAGGCAGGAGGATTGCCATAAGTTCGAGGCCAGCCTGACTACATAGCAAGACCCTGTCTCAAAAAACAAAAAATTAATAAAATAGAGGAGGGGAGGAGGCAGGGCCCAGTCTTGAGTCCTGGCACCTGCTGGAGGGAGAGGGCAGCTGCCGGGCCAGGGCGTGGGTGAGGAGACAGTGTGCTCTAACTCCCCTGACGCTTGTCACTCCAGGAATGTTACCGTTTATCGCTGGTCAGCTTTGGTCCTGATACCTACGATGGGGTCTCTGGTGCTGCGCCGCCAGGCCGGCTGGAGTCACATTGGCCAGAAGGAGGCAGCAGAGGAGCGCCCGGCCCGTGGACAGGCCGCCCAGCACGGGCCCACCGGCCCCAGCTGCTCACCTACCCTGGCGCCTCCCTCACCCGCCTCTGCGCTGCAGGCACAGCGGGACCTCCTGAAGCTGACTCTCGGTCCCTGCACCCAGCCCTGGGCAGATGGGCTCCCCGCCTCAGCCTCCAGGCTGTCTCTCACCCCCTCCAGCCCTGGCACCACGCCCGAGGGACCTTTCTAGAGCCCAGACTGACCTTACTTTCTGCTCAGGACCATCCATGGCTTCCCAGTGCCCTGAGAAACCACGCTCCTCACCGCAGCTTGCACCCCATGAAGGTCGGGGTCCTGGGGCCTCCCCTTCAGCCCCTCACCCCCACTGTGTGGTCTGCAGTCCGCAGGAATGAACTACACCATCTCAGGTCCCCTGTCCTTCAGACCGCAGGCTATGCGTCCCTCTTCTATCCACCTCACCCACCAGGCAGCCCCCATTCATTCATTGGCCGTGTTTATTGAGCACCTACTGCACACCAAGCTGTTACATAAACCAGAAGACCAAAGACTTGAAGACAAATCACCAAGTGCTTTGTATTCACTAGCCAATTGTAGGCTCACAACAGTTCTGCAAGGGAAACACTGTGAGGAACCCATTTGACAGATGAGACAACTGAGGCAAAGAAAGGTGAAGTGATGAGGCAGGGGTACGTGCCAGGAATCCCAGCATTCAGGAGGCTGAGGCAGGAGGATCACTGCAAGTTCAAGGCCAGCCTGGGCTACAAAATGAGCTCAAGTCCAGTTTGAATTGCATAGTGAGACCCTGTCTCAAAAAGACAAAAGAAGAAAGAAAGAAAGATGAAGGTACACAGGATCCCAATGGACAACTTGGGAGAAGGACCCAAAATACTATCTTCTGTTCATTTTGCTCGGTGCTGGGTCTGTCCAGGAGCACGCCCAGGAGTCTGCCCTCTGCAGTGGGTGTGGGGAGGGCAGTGCCGCCCTGAAGGGTATTTCAGGCATTCGGCCCCGTGGGCAGGAGATCAGTGACCCGGCTGGGGCCCCCGGCCTGCCCACAGGGTCCCGCTTCCTGAGCACTTGCCGGGAACACGGCGGTCTCAGGGCTCCCGGGTTCCCTGGCTGCCGCTCAGTGCTGGAAAATGAGGAAGCAGTGGTGAGAAGGAAGGGCCGGGCGGCCCAGTCATTGTGATTCACAGGGAAAACCCTGCCCTTCCGAGTTCAGCTCCTTTGTGTGCCAAAGGGCGAGCGCAAGCCGGCAGCGGCAGCGGCGGGCAGGGCCGGCGGCCCGTGTGGGCGGTAGGTGGCAGGCAGAGGTGTCCAGCTCCCGCCCTCCGCCATGCTGTTTGCAGCCCTCGGGAGGACGCAGGGTGAGCTTATGCTCAGTGTCTACCTGGAGCATGCTGTATGCAAGGCCCTGGGTTCCACTCCCGGCACTACGGGGGGGGGGGGGTGGATTAAGCCAGAAGTGGTGCTGCTTTCCTGTTCACCCAGCACTTGGGAGGCTGAGGCAGGAGGGTCGCCGTGAGTTAGTTCAAGGCTGGTCTGGGCTACATAGTGAGTTTGAGCCAGCGAGACCCTGCCTCAGAAGAAGAACAAGGAGAAGGTGAAAGGGAAAGGGAAGAGGAAGAGGAAGAAGAAGAGAAGAGAAAAGCAAGCAAGCCAGCCCTTCCTGCTGTTCCTGAGGCGACTGCAAATCCAGTCGCTGACTGGGCACTGGGAGCCATTAAGGCAATATCGACTCTTTTTTTTTTTCTTTTTTTTCACTTTTTACATGAAATAATGATTTTGTGAGGGTGTTTGGCTCTTTCTCTTTGGTACTGGGAATGGAACCCAGGGCCTTATATGTGCTAGGGGAGCACTTTACCACTGAGATACACTTCCAGCCCGTTTAAAATTTCTAGACAGGGTCTCACTGGGTTACCCAGGCTAGCCTGAAACTCAAACCCTGCTGCCTCCTGAGTAGCTGCGATTACAGGCGTGCACCACGGTGGCTGACCCTGCCACACTTTTAAAAACAAGTTCAGATCTTTTAGAGATAGAGGCGGAAATCGCTTATGGATTTTAAAAAAAAAAATAAGTCTGAGATTTGCTTTCCAAATACTTCATCCACTGGGCCAACCTGGGGTCAGAAATATTTGGCAAAAAAGTCTGGGCCTGCTTGGAACATGTGGAAACATCTGTCCTTGTCACCACTCCCTGAAGAATAGAGCAGGTGCACGTCCTGGGTATCATCCGTCACCTAGGAGCGAGCTGCAGTGTACGGGGCGCGGGACGGGGCAGGCCGAGGATCTGCACACGCGGGCACCAGCTGTCTACACAGGGCTCCCCAGAGAACCCAGCCGTCTGCTGCCTCCACACCCCCAGGCCTCGGCCACCTCCTGGCTCCCACACCTTCTGCCACAGCCTCAGCCCAGGCCCGCACCTTACCCTGCGCCCTCACGCTGGGCCTGCCCATCACTGAACAGAGGCCAAGGTCCAGGGCCTGTCAGCAGCCAGGTGTGGTGACGCACACCTATCATCCCAGCTCTCAGGAGGCTGAGGCAGGAGGATCTCTGTGAGTTCAAGGCCAGCCTGGGCTACATGGTGAGACTGTCACAGGGTGATTTTGCCTCCTGCCCTTCCTCCTGCCTCTCCATGCAGCATCTGCCTCCCTCCTCCCTCCTACCTCAGGGCCTTGGCACTTGCGGTGCTGTCTTCTCCCAAGCCATCCAGAGGCTCCCTGCCACCTCCCTCGGGCTCAGCCCCAGCCTCCCTGGCTGAAGGAGCAGCCTGTCCTCCCTGTTCTGTGCCCCTGCGTTTGTTTTCCTGAGGCACTTCTTGCTCCCTGACCTCACCTGTTTATCGGTGCCCCTCTGCCCCTAGGACTCAGCCCCTCGGGAAGTGCTATGTCTCGGGTCCGTGTCCCCACCCGACTTGGCACCCAGCCACAGCTCAATAAATATTTGCTGAATGTTTCAAGGCCTTGGAAAACCCCAGGCTAAGGGCGGCCGGGCTGGGACAGGCCAAGCTCACTCTCACCCCGCCCTCCGGCTCTCTCCAGGGCCAGGGTTAGGGGCCCCAGGTCCCATCTGTCCCGGCCCCCCAGGACCAACCGGGATCTGCCAGGTGGCCCAGGGAGCCACAGACCCTGTGATCAGGGAGGAGCCCGGGCCCAGCACCTGCCACGGTGCCACCCAAGCCTCGGGCCCCACCCACCTGCCCCACCAGGCAGGCCAACAGGGTCCACGGAGGCCCAAGTCCACGGACCCAGCTGGCAGCACATGACTTGGCCGGGGAGATAAGGAGACGAGACCAAACAAGGTCACTCTAAACCAGGGCACAGTGCCACTGTGTCCCCAGATGGCTGTGCGGAGAAACCAAGGCTGAGACTTTGCCAGGCGGTGGCCCTGAGCCTCGGTTCCTGCGCCTGCAAAATGGGGCTGGGGGCAGGTGGAGCTGGACCAAGTGGCAGGAAAAGCCACGAAAATACAAAAGAGAAATCGTGAACAGCCGGGCTTGGAGGGGGGCCCGCAATCCCAGCACTCGGGAGGCTGAGGCTGGAGGATCCCATCCTGGAGTCCAGCATGAACAGTTTAGTGACCGGGAAGATCCTGTCTCAAAATAAGAAAGGGCTGGGGACTCAGTTCCGTACAAAGGCCCTGGGGTC